GTTCTTGAAGTTAACGAAATCGAGACTTAAGAATCAAATATGTCTGCAAACTTCTGTTTAAGGTTGTCTTGGACGTATGGTTTAATTCTTAGATGCTCTCGTAGATTGATCTAATGAACTGGGTTTTCGTAAGAAAGATGTCGTTTAAAGCGTATGCAGGAAAGGCAGAATAGTCTAATAAACCTGTTCCCAATAATAGCGCCGTGTTTCAAATACGGTTGTGCTGTATAGGGACTATGTCATTGTCCGAATGTTGAAAAGCGTTTGGTAGCCATCAAGTACCTGGATGGATTTCTATTACGATGATTTACGACTCTGTTACGTACGTAACAAGATTATTTTGAAAGTGAACATTTTTGCAAAGGCTCATACATGAAATCATGATTGGCCAGACTTGACGGTAGCAACGAACTTTCTGGCATTTCTTCATAAAATTGTTGTTAATATGCTGACTCTAATTTCTACTGCGGCGCTTGGGTCCAAAGCACTCTTTTTACTTCCGCCTGTTATACCGTAGTTTATTTGAGATGTTTTTCATTCATCATACCATCAGTAGTGGTAACTTGGGTTTTATGCTTTTGCCCAGATGCTTTTTACATCTGTTGTGATAAGTCAATCTATGATCACACTTTAGTTACTAGTATCTGTTGTTCATCATGTGTCAGTTTACAGTAAGCACTGTTTAATTTTTCTTCGAATGAACGAATGAGCGATGACCACCCTTGCGTGGTCGCGCAGTTGTTAATCGTAGACTTAAGGGCGAATTATTGTCTGAATCTGGCCGCCCGAATCACTTCATCTACTCTACTGTTTTAGCCTGTTTTAATGAATGATAATTGATAATTGTTACAGTGAGAGAGTGATAGTTCTAAGAATATTTTGGCGTACGATGAACATCTTTAATAGCAAATAGCATATGAGAACAGAAGTAGATGCGGTATATTTTCCCCAGCCAAGGATCCAGAAACAGAAAATTTGCAAGACTCTGATAAACATATAGCTATGCATGAACAATAATTTTTTTCTTAGTTTCAGTTTTCTTTCATTCATGTAATATGTAGAATTTTAAATATCTCTATCATTTCAGACAAGGCAATTGTAAGATTATGAGATTTCGGAGGTACATGTTACACAGATGCTTCAATAAAGCTGTCTGAAACGTATGATACTGTTCATATGTTGAACAGGGTTCATTGTGTTGTGTCTTCAAAAATCTTCAGTGAGACAGCTCAAATGATTTGATATGCTCATTTTGATTTTTTGACTTATGCGAATAATCGCTGTAAAGTTTGCCAACCGAACATGTTTTTTTCTTAGAAACATCCTGAGCTGTACTGGTCTCAGGTTTTCAACGAAATGACTCGCAACCATCAAGTACAGACCACCATGCTGCCAGTGTATTTCAAGAATGTCTGCTTATCTTTCATTCCGGTAGCTGAGTGATTTTGATTTAAGACATGGATTTAGAGTTTATTGTTCCCTTGTTTCAGGTGATGGATCTATTTATCCAAAAGCTGATTGAACTTCCCTCGGTGTGCCTCAAGTTTCTCGATACTATGATGAACACCATTGGCCCACTGTTTCGTTTCCATCGTAAGCTACACGTTGTGTTTAAAGCGACAAATTCCATTGATGCTTACTTTCTTTAGCGCATCCGGTCACCATGCTATACACGACTTTTCGTTTCTATGAAAAGAAATTGATCGATTCGTCTCAAGTGAAACTAAAACTTGTCTATACCATCCACAGTAAGTGTTCATTCCGATAATACGTCTTCGAGCAAGACAAAATTTTGCGATGAACCTCATTTTTTACTGATATGAAGACAAACAGTGTGAATTGTTTGTGGCCACCATTACCGAATGTAATGAGGACGCAAGTTGTAACTGTATATTCGAATATTCTGTGTAACATTGCGGCATTGAATGAGGAATATTTTGAGAACACTGTGGGATAGTCTCGATTATTATTGAGATAAACCAATATTGAGCAGGTAACAGCAAATTACGAGAAGTTATATGAAATATTAAAACGCCATATCATGTAATCGTATTCATGAATCACAGAACTTACAATAGCATTGTTCGTATGCAAATAGGAAAAAACTGAGGTTCTGAAACAGTATGAACTTGGTTCCGCAGCTTCCTCAAAGATTATATGAAGTATCCTGAAAATGCGATTGCTCCGTCGAACCACAAATTAGTAATTACGACCGACTTTCCGGCAAGGTTGACAGCAGAATTTAAACACCAATCTGTTTGATTTCTTATATCTTCCTAAAATGGCATTTTGTTAATACCGTCATCTTGCCGAAACCCCTGACCACAGATGCTTTAGAATACAGCTCAATATTTTTACGCTGTTCATGAAACAAATTACTTGCAGTGATAAATACGTCCATTGCTGCTGTCTGCAATGTTGAATATGTAACATATTTTGTGCCAAGGTAGATAAAGATTTGGAGAAACCCTGTTTTAGCTTAGCTTTAGATTGTCGATAGACAACAACTGCGGGTAGATAGTGTTCCTTGATGCCTGTCG